TCGCTCAATACAACCTGTGGAAAGAACGCAATATTCGATATCACCTCGGGCATTCCCCAAGACGTTTATATATCCCCAAGCACTTTTGCGTCTACACTTAAGTTGGACACGTGTGCAGAGCCGCGGCCGTACTTTTCCATGGGTGACTGTTGGCAAACACGGGAATCCGCTTTCCTTCCCAGATTTTCGTGATAAACCCGCTGCCAGAGCTGTTCCTCATCAGAACTTTCTGCGCCCTTCCTTTTATAATCCCCCAAAGGGCGTTGCAGGGGATACAAAGATAAGATGTGGGCCCCGTTGGCCTGCAGGGGCGTCACTTCGGCCACTTTGTTGCAGATGAGTGGAAACTCCTCCATGTTGCTCTGCTCATCTACAATTGTTTGCGCATTGTCGTTATCCATTTTTTGCTCCAACCGGAAAAAAGACGTGGCAGGGAGTGGCGGAGGAAGCTCCAGTGCTTCGAGCGCAGTGATGGGGTCCTCTGCATTAATCAAGCATTCGTTTTCCTCCCTTGACTTTTCTGTTATGTCAGCGGGTCCTGCCGTACAGACCGCACCGGTCTGCGACGACGGCGCCTCGCATTTCTCTTCGGGTGCGGACTCTTTCCTAGGCGGCGCGTGATCCACATGATTCCACGGCTCTTCACTGGAGCTCCCGCCTTCTCTTCCGTTTTTATTCAATGACACGTCCACGGAGTTTTTGGGCCTCAGCTCACGCCAAAGCGACGTCCATTCATTGCCATTTTTTCCCTCCCACCTCATCGAACTATTTTCTGATGCTCTTCCCGGCAACTCACCATATCCCATTGTGCCCGTCTCATTCAACAAAAAGGGCGGAGGAACCGCGGGTTTGTATTCAAAGCCCAACATTTCTTCTTCTTCCAACTCCCCTTCCTTCTGCAGTAGCGGCTGCCGCACGTCGAGGTTGGCTGACAGAAAATCTTCTCTCTGCAGGAGAGCCGTCGTTGTATAATAATCCTCAGCCTCATCCATCGCCTCATGCAGGCTGTTTTGTTCGCCCACTGAGAATCCCTGAGATTTCTTGTCATGATCGAAAGCATTCATCTCATCCACGTCATTCATTTCTTCTTCTTCGGACGGAGCGGCTTCCACTGCGGCAAAATCATTGTTTGGGACCATGTCCTCTTCAGCGGTCTCTTGAGGGAAATCAACTTCCTGTTCCTCTTCCTGCGGCGCGAGATTCTCATTCTTTTCCTTCTGTTGCTTCTCCAGTTCAGCATGAAGTGTCTTGTGCCGCTTCCACTCCTCCACAACAAACCACTTCATATAACGCCTCTTCGCGGCACGGGGGGATGACGACATCCCACGAGACGTATCATCTTCTTCATCGTAATTCCTCACGGAGACGCTACGAAGACCACTTGAAATAATATTGTTCAGTGGTCCTGGCAGCACGTACTGTTGCACTGACACATGTCGTTGAGGTACAAAGTGCAGAATAACCCGAAGCAGCTCCGTTGGAGTCCCTTGAAACACCCCTTTAAAACGAAGAATGGCTGCAAACAGCGTCGTGCCCAAAGCAATTTTCATCCACAAAGTTGTTTTCGGTCGATCCCTGCTTTGCTGCCCCTGCTGCATCACAATGTGCACAAGACGCTCATTCTCGGCTGCAGGCGGAGATCCGGAGAGGAGAAGAGAGGCCTCGTGTGTGACGCGCCCGTCACTGGGGTCAATGAGTAGCAGTAGACCGGACTCCGTGACAAGAAGAACACGTGGCAGCCAACTTGTGATGAACAATGCAGACGACTGGCGACTCACGTGAGAGGCAAACACGGGGCGCAAGAAACAAGTGTGCTGGGTAGGAATATGAAGCGATTTCAGGAGACTTTCGGACAACTGAATGACGGGCAATGGGGCTGCCCCAATGCTCTCCGCCAAGACGGCAGCGTCGCTCATTTCTTTTGAACGTCGCCAAAACAAGAAAGAAAGAAAAAAAAAAAAAAAAGAAAATTTCCTTCGGTTCCTTTTGTGGCGCAACATGCGTTCACAGCCAAACCTCGTGTGCCAATACTCCCTCACGACATGCATCACGCTGTGAGAGCCACCTGTCAATGCCACAGCCTTTCATTGCTCAAACGACACAAGGGCAAAGGAGGAAGGCGGGTTTCCCAAATCCCATTCCCACGATTCCTTCAAACCGCTGCACTACAACCCCATCTCACACTCACATGCATCGCATCCAAAAGAAAAGGGAATATAACTGAAACAAAATGTACACGTACAGACAGAGTAAAAAGCAAATAAGCAAAAAAAAAAAAAAAAAAGGATCTTCACAAAACGATAATACACAAAACACACTCACTCTCTAAAACTTTTGCCGCGAGGGTAGCATGATAAGAGTCCTCAGTGGTTTCTTTGCACCTTGCAACAGTTGTGCCGTGAGGTACTCCCAAGAGAGATCCTCGACCTTTTCCCATTCCGTCAGCAGAAATTGCTTCTTGAATTGGATCAGCTGAATCCTCTTCTCTACTCTAGCCAATGTATCTTCAGGATGCCCCATTTCCCATTCCGAAATCCGTTTGGTCAGTTCTGCGGCCTGACCACGAAGTAATGTCAATTTGTTCGTAAGAGAGTGCCACAGCTGCCGCTCTTCTGGCCATAAATACCAGAAAACTTCTGCCTCGCGATGCATCCCCATTTCACGTAAACGGCACACACGCTCTCGTATTGCCTTCACCTGAGCTGCAATTTCCCATGGGGGTGGCCTTTCCATTTCATCCCGCTTGCCATGTGGACGACGTTTCTGATGGAATTTGGGTTGGTATTGGCGGTTTTGATGCCGAACCTTCACATCCCTCCTAGCTTCAGCTCCGGCATGAAATCGCCGCGCTGAGGTCCTAATCTCAGCATATGAACCTAAAGACGCCGGGAGCGGTCGTTGAGACCTTGACGTTAAAGGGCGCTCCTTTTGCCGTGTCTCGCTCCGATTTTTTCCGCTAAAACGTGCTTTGTATGACACTACAGATGTCACAGGCTCCGTGGCATTTTCTGCCACCGCCGCCTTCTCTTCCACTGTACACGATGACAACGAGAATTGTTCCTCTTGCTCAGGTGGAGGGGCTGCGGGTAATGCTTGAAGTACACTCATGACACTTGGCGCACGTGTAGAGGTCTGAGTGGATGGGGCATGGGCCACAATCTCATAGACAGGACTGTTGGACCATCGACTGCGTGTCGTTGGCAATATTGAGTTGAAGCCCATGCCTTCAAAGGCAAAGGAATCATTTTGCTGCCCGTCTTCTTTTTCATCTTCAACGACGGTGTGATTTCTTGGGTTATCCTTCACCGTTGCATCCAAAATGCCTGTTGTGGGATGGCGTTCCGTTTGCAATGGACGCGATTCTTCAATAGAAGTCTTTCCCCAATCGATGGGATAGTTAAAAACGGACGACGAATTCAGTGCGCCGTCCAGAAGCTCTGACGGCGACGTGCTGATTTCGTCCAGAATTATGCCCGGATGTTGGACCGTTTTCTTTTTGGGCAGCTGCAACGTCTTTTCTTGTCTTCCATCGGCGTAAATGAAGGTGCTTCTGGAGGCAAAAAAGGGTGTTTGCATGGGTGGCACCAGCCGAGCTGTCGGTTCCTCTTCAGCGGAAGTTTTCAATGTTGGTGTGGCATCCATGACATGAGCCACCACCGATACAAGTGACGATGCCTCTCTTTGCTCCATTGGCGCTGAAGAGACATGCTGTCTGTCTCCAGCTAATGCCGCGACGCTTGGCTTTGGTCGGTCTTCAATGGATTTGGCATAGGTCCCTCCGTCCGGCAATATTTCATCGTTTAGACGCCTTCGCCTTGCCTCCTTCTGGAAAACAAATGAAAAAGAGGTGGTCCGTGGCGATCGAGAGGTGGGTACACGAAAATTGAGCGACATGCCACCCTCCTTTTCTTCCCGATGATTTCTTTTGCCTTTCGAGTTGGTGGTCCGCCAAGTAGGGTGATTCCTCGTTGGTTTCGGAATGGATGAACGTGGCGACGTGTGACCCGCTTCACGTCGCTGACGCCCCTTCAGCAGCCGCAGGAATTGTTGATTGGGATCGCGACTTGTTTCCGAAGATGGACCCGTGTTTAACTGCAGCCCATATGATTCCTTTCGCTCCACTCGGGGGCTGCACCCCGTCTTCGACGTCGTCACGACGCCGCTCTCAAAAGTCTGCTGCGTGACGTCTTTGCTGCTGGCAGGGGCGGGCACATCGGGCAATGCCGTGAACATTTCATGAACTTCTCTGGCGAGTAATGACCCCTCGTCACTGCCGCGACAGTCGTTGTCGTTAGCCACGTCCGTCATTTTCACGGCCGCCTCGGGTGGAAAAACACCGCTGAAAGGGCCGGCAAAATCCTCCAGTCTCGGCGGCTGCCACGCGTTTCTTCCCCCTCCCTCTCCCCCGCTGCAGCTGTTTCCAGCACAACTGTGAGTTCTCGCATCTGCCCCGCGTGTTGGCGTCATTTCCTCACCGTTTGGCGAATAATACACAGGTGGATCCCTCGGCATGTCAAACAAGCCTGAAGCGGCCGGTGAAGAACACCTCTTCCGCTCCATGCCGTCATCTGCCGTCTCCTCCCCTTGCTGCTGGTCGCCGCCTCCAGTCATCTGGACGACCGTCCCCTCCCCTCACTCCCCCCTGTGTGTGCGGCAGGGAAAAAAAAAAGGAGAAAACATCAAAAAAGTGGGGAGTTTGGGAAAGGTGCAAAAACAACAACGCCGAGGCACCAAATTCCCCTCCACACACAAAAAAAAAAAAAAAAAAAGAAAAAAGAAAAAAAATCCAACACGCACACGCCCAGAAATACTTTGGTTGAATCATGAAAAAACAAAAACAAAAAACGCGGCGACAAAACAATAACAAAATCACCAAACAAAAAGACGAGAGAGAAAAAGAAAGAGAGAGAAAGCAAACACACGAACAAAAAGACCAAGCACGTAATTGCCAAGAAAACTCCGGTTTCTTTTAGGCAAAAACAGCCCTGTATATACTTTTCATATAAAGAAAGCTCAAGCGGACATCATCATTGTAGCACGACTTCTTCTTGAGCAACTCGTTTTTGTTGTTGTTGTTTCTTGCCGTAAGGGTACTCCCGAACTCTGATGCTAATTCACCTGTATGAGGGCCATGTTCATATCGTCCCTCATCCTCCTCACTATTCATAAAATCACATCGGAAGGAGAGGTTCCTCTTCGGGCCCTTTTCAAAGGTGGATGATCTACCGTTTTGTGCTGCCATTGTAGCAAGTTGTGCGGCCGTGGATGCGCGATAAAGCCGGTCACTAAAGGCCTTTGTTACAATGTTGAACAAAGGCTCTAGCGCGGCCGCAGCATGCACATGACGCCATGCTGACCGTAGTGAAGGGAATAGCCGCCTACCAGCGCCTTCTCGATGATGTGTGGTGGCACCGTGACGGCCCAGGCCGCCTCCCTTTTCAGCTTCCCGCATCTCCTCCTCGTGCCTACGTTGCCAGACAAGAAGTCGATACTCCAAGGCACCATTGAAATCCTCGATGGCATGAAGAAGAAGACACCAACAACGGGCACGATATTGAATCTTAGCGTCTTTTACAAGCAGCAGCCAGCTTTCTACCCACGTACGGTTCTCATTTGCATACTGCTGCTCCTCTTCCCGGGCGCATACAGCACGTTGATGAGACAACAACATGGAGAGTGTTTCAACAATTTGCCGTTGGTGTTTTGGCTTGGGTGGTGGCATGTTCGGGACACTTCGGCGCACCAACAGCGTGACCGGTGCCTCTGGTCCGGACCATAATGTCTTGTCCCCTGTGAAAAAGAGATGTGCTGCGAGGTCATCGCACGGCCATTTGGACTCTCCCTTTGCAAGGGTTTCGTCGAGCATTCCAAAGGCGGCTGCGTCCCCTGTCCGCGCCCCCACAGAGGAGGCACGTTGATGGTGCCTGGCGGCCGCCGAGACCTCTTCAAATGGCTCAAGGAGGATGTGAAGCGCAAGCCTCATTAGCTCCGCAGTCGTAATAGGCGTCTTCACGGATGTCGCTCCCGTGCTGTCGCCCGTTGCGCCCCTGTTTGGTTCCTCCATTCCAATAAGGCGAGAAAGCAGCGCACCAAGTCCCTTCTCCATGGCGTCCAGAGTCACCTCCACTAAATGTGCTGCACGCAGCAAGAAGAGGATGTCCCTACGCTGCGCAAAGAAAATAATGCCCCAAAAGTCGTTGGGCAGCAAATTAACGTCCTCAGTCACAGAAGCAATTTTTTCGCGCGTTGTGGGGGAGATGACACCGGCGGCAAGAATACGCTGCGTGCCGGAGATCATATCCCCACGACCAATGTCTTCTCGCAGCTGTTGGATATGAAGGCTGTAGGAGATGCCTTGGCATTCTTCTTCCACTAATTTGCTGCTTATTTTGTTTAGTGAGCTGCCGCTACCACCGGGAAGGGCGCCTCTTGAACTTTTCTTTGAGTTGTCTTCCCCTCGTGTGGCATGTGTCTCTTCCGCACTCTGCGATCCCATTCCTTCCTGAAGGGGAGAGGAGACGCGGGTGGCGGCAGTAGCGCACTGCAACTCTTCTCGCTCCTTCTCAAAAGCGGACAACGCCTTTGTCATCCCCCGTGCTGCCAAGTGTTTTCTGATGGCTGCCATAATATTTGCATCACGACAAGAACAAGTGCTGTCCTCCTCGCGCTCGTTTTCCAGATCGGCCGCCGTCTTTTTCTGGTGCAGTCGAACCAACTCCTCTGCAATGCTCTCACAGTACTTGTCCATATTAAAAACAAAATACCCGGCCGCCGTCGTCCTCATTTCCTGTTGAGGAGAAAACGCAGTAGTCACACCACCAGCCGCCACCGCCGCAGCAGCAGCAGCAGCAACAGTTCCCGACTCCGGCACCGCCGCGGTGGTTGCGGCTGTAGCTGTTGTTATTGTTGTGACTGCAGCAGCAGCAGCAGCAGCTGGTGGTGGCGGTGGCGGCGGTGGTGGTGGTGGCGGGACCTTTTCCTTCATGGGAGGCCGCAGTATAGACGCCGCCCTACCCAACGGCGGAAACACAACTCTCAATGAAACTGCAGGAAGAAGTCGAAACATGCCCACGGCGGGGTAGTAGCCGTGCCGTGGCATTCGTCGACTCAGTGTGCCCACGACGTCCAGAAGCTCACCATTGAAGGTAAAGCGTACTGTGCCGTCCATGAGGTTTACAATACATCCAACTGTGTCCCCAACTTTCATCCCTCTTGCACGATAATCATCTGAGTTCCCTGCTGCGGTGCTGCTGTTGCGTTGACGTGCGCCGGTGGGGAAGCGCACAGCTTCGCCTTCGCCCTTGCCGTTTATATACGCCATGCGCTGGGCAGTAAAAAGACCGATGCTCCACGCCTCTTCACCTGGCAGCGCGTGCTGAGGAAGCGATTCGCGGCAGATACCAATGACGAGTTCGGGCTCGCTCAAGCTCATAACAGAGTTGCGGCCGTTTCTGCCTGCCGTCGCGATGGACCGAACCTCCACCTCGAAGTAAAACACGCCACTGTACGGGTGAATCGGAACATCACTCTTCAGGTGGATGCGCCCATTGTTCTCCCTTCGAGAGGCCGCGGATGCAGCGGCGGCAGCGGCGGACGCAGAAACGCCAGGCCGCATGCTTGTGGAGAGAAAGTGGATGAGACAGATGCCGGGGCTGCACGTCTCCTGAATGAAATAATTGGCATCCTGCTGGCTGTCGCTCGCAACGATGCGCTGCGGCGTGGGAAATTGCCAGCCGGAGTAAAACATTTGCAACTCACAAAGGCGTCCGGGAAAAAAGAAAAAAAAAAAGAAACGAACAACAACTAAAACAACTAAAACAACAAAAAGCTATTTGACCTGTAGCGTTGCAGCGTACACACCTGCCGGTAGGAGTGCTAGGGAAGTGGGAAGAGAAGAGAATAAAATACGGAAGAGAAAGCGGTAGATCCATCGGGTAAAAGCGGCGCAGACGTATATATATATATACATGTACAATAAAGGCCGTCTGCGTCTCGGCAAAAGGAGACAAACAAAAAATAAAGAGAAAGACATAGACACACACACACTCACTCACAGAGAGAGAGAGAGGGAAAACAAAAATCACAACGGGAAAAATAATGTCACTTAATTTAATTCTCCCCGCACCCTCCCACTCACCTCCATTCCGTTCCTCTTTGCATTCCCCTCTCCCCTTTACCCCCCTCCCGGGCGCCCTGAAGAAAGACGGGATAAAAACAAGAGAAACAACAGTACTTGGGCGACATGCCACGCAACTACTGCCCAGCCACAGTCACCCGCAAAGAGTGGTGCACGGAGGCAAAAGTCGTGCCCACACGCTTACATTGCAGACAGACAACATCATGGAGGAAGACACGGATCCACAGGCAAAAAAAAAAAAAAAAAGAAAAAACAAACACTGAAGACTGCGGAGTCAGGGAGGGGGTGAAAAACACCAGCCGTCCCTCAGCAAATGCACGTGCACGCCTTCACAAATAAAACAAGCAAACAAAAAAACAACAACAAAACCCGCAAAAAACATACAAGAGAACACAAAAGAAGACGTCAAAAAAAGCAAAAAAAAAACAATCAAAAGACAAACCGCGCATAAAAAAATGAAAACAAAAAAACAGGAAAAAAAAAAAAACAGCGTTTCATGATGAAAAACAAAACAAAAAAAAAGAAAACAAAAACAAAAAGAAGAAATGGTGCGCACGGCGAACGGAGTCACCCACCGACCCTCCAAACACTTACATCTGGAAATAAACATGAAAAGGGGGGGAGATGAAAAGAAAAATAAGAATTTCGTACATTAGTAACGAGCAAAGATCAAAAAATCAAAAAGAAAAGAAAAGAAAAGAAAAGTTACCCTCACACATGCAGCAGGGGGCACACGCATATAAATAAATAAATAAATAAATATCTTCTCCACTAATCAAAGACCTCAATATTTCTCTTCTTCTCTCGTTCCCCCCTCAATCCCCCCCCCCCCCCCCCTCTGCACACACACACACAGAGAGAGAGAGAGAGGGAGGGGGAGAGGGGGAGGGAGAAACAGAAGAACAGTAACTTGAGAGAAAGCAAAAAACAAAAACAAAAACAAAAAAGACGCCCTCCTGCTGAATTTTCCCCCTCCCCTGCCTATTTTTATATTGCGCCGTATCACACACACACAC